ATAACCATATAGACAATTGCTGAGTATAAAGAGATGAATGTACATATGCTTCCAGGATGGCCTTGGGGACTGCCCCACCCTTGGTTACTTAGCCCTTGGGTCATAACTTCGAAATGGTTAAGATCCCCACCCCAAAACTATATATACAATTGTTGGGCATAAAGAGACAAATGCAGTCATGATATTAGAATTGACCCCAGGGTTTGCCCCACCCTTGCAGACTTAACCCCTGGGTCATAACTTTGAAACGGTTTAGATCCCCACCCCAAAACTATATATACAAATGCTGAGCACAAAGAGACAAATGCAGTCATGATATTCGAATTGATCCTGGGGTCTGGCCACAACCATAGGGACTTAGTTTCTGAGTCACAGATTGGAAACAGTTGAGATGAGATCCCCACCCAATAACCATACATAAAATTGCTGGGCATGAAAAATCGAATACAGATATATATGCTACAAGGATTGGCCTTGGGGTCTGGCATATTCCAATGGATCTCATTTGGAGAATATTCTGCCATGATTGCTTAGATATCCAGGTGAGCGATACACGCCCTATGGGCCTCTTGTTGAAATACATACTAATCTCAAAAATATATAACGACTCGAGATCTATACATTGTATTATAATTACCAAAGTAACACCTCAGAGTCTATATATTATATGATGGTTACCATAGTAACCAACTTACTCCTTTACAACATATACTAGATTCATAACAATAACGAATTGAGGTTTATTTAGCATTTTCCAACAACTACAGAATGCTCAAGATTCAAGATTCAAGATTCAAGAAGCTTTATTTAACGTCGCATATACATGTAACATAATAACATTAGCACTGTAGTGCTATTCTTGCGACAAAACATATATAAAATTTAACAAGGATTACAGTACTTATGAATAAATATAAAAACAGGACAACAATTCAAATTAGATATGCTAAAATTATACAGTAGAGCATATGATATCACACTTGAATGTCACACAGGTGCTACGAAAGACAAGTTAAGACACTATACTAGTGTAATGTACATATATGCTAATGTAGCAAAGTGTAAAAATTTACAGGATATACACTAATATAGTGTGAATTAAAAAGAGACAATGAAGTCATAAATAGAAACAGAGCTATAATTATGATATTGTAAAAAAGTAATTATCTTTTAAATAATGGAGCTCAAATCTAAAAGAAATATCAATTATATAATAAGTATATTATTCTTAAATTAAATAACACAAGCAGCAGTGAAATTAAATAGTTGTTGTATAAAACATGTAGGTAGATTCCAAAGGGGGACAACTCACACTATATGGTGTGTGCAGATAGCACATGAGCAGACATTTTTGTTCCAGGTGCGGAGCAGGCCACGAAACGACTTATAGTTTTCAGCTAATTGAAGTTCATTTGGTAGGTTGTTCCACACCTGGGAAGCAGCAAATCGGAAAGATATCTTACCATATGTGGAGGTGTTCACCTTTGGAATATTTACCAGGTTATCTTGTCTCAGATTGTAAAAAAAATCTTTCCTCTCAACAAGATTTTGTAAAATTGATGGAGAAATTTCATTTAAAATTTTAAAAACCTCAGAGGCCATATCTTTCATACGTTTTACATGTAAAAAATCAAGTTTGTGTTTTCTAAGAATATCAATGAATGGGGAAACATAACCATTTTCAATAAAACGAAGTGCTCGTTCCTGAACTTTTTCAATTTTTCGAGTATTTGTCAATGTACAAAAGTGCCAGGCAAGTGGACGTTAGTTAAAGTTTGATAGAATAAAAGATTTAAAAATAGTAATTTCCCAGTCTTTTTAAAACAGCAACTTGTTTAGCAGCATGTCTGCAAAGTCAAGATATATGTACATCAAATTTAAGAAGATAGTCAATATCTACACCTAAAAGTTTCACACTGTCTTCACAAATAATCTCAAGGCTTTCAATATTAAAAAAATTGATAGTGTTACTATTCTTTTTGCCAAAACATATTGCCTGAAATTTCTCTGGATTGGCCTTCAAACCATTAAAATCAAATTCCAATGACTGTATTTCATATGGAGGATAGTTAGTGGCTTCCATGTATTTTTAACAAGTATCGCAACAGACCGAGCGTGAAGCACGAGTAAAAATATGGTACATTGTACCATACGAGTAAAATATTTACTGCATCTAACAGGAAAGCCATGAAATATTTCACGCTTTAAATTCCGATCCCGATCACCCGATCACGACTGAAGCTATTTTTTTGGATAAATATATATCAAGAACAACAAAGAATAAAATATGGTGCAGTAAATGACATTTTATTAAATGACGAATAACATGGCAGACATGGTAACAACAATGTCAACCATGTTGCATAAACATATTTACAACAAAAACAATATCTTGAATATATTCCAAAAAGGTGAAGCATAAGAAAACGCCACAGGACTTGAATTATGTTAACATCATTCCAGTTCAGCTCACATTCGCAACAGTTTAGCTATCGCCTTATTCATCCTCCGTCATGACAGCGAACATTAGTAAATAGCACATCGAACATTATAATCACTTGTTAAAGTAAAATTAACGCTGAGAGAATATGGAATTTACCATTGAAGAACAAAAAATTGATATTGATACAAACACGTTATACTACACTATCAGTATGCAGGCGTCAAGCTGACGACCTTTTCATTGCAAAACCTATCCTTTACTAATGTTGCAATCGAGGAATTATAAATGAATGACATAAAATTGAGTGTCAAATTGTTATTAGTTTCAAAGCCTATAAAACCAGTAAGGAATGAATGATAACTTTACAGGAGAAGTGACTCAAAGTAAAAAAGAAATTAGTTGCTTTTTTATATAATTCTGCATAGAAGGGCGGATACTTCTTTTTAGAAAAGTCAGAATGGAACTCCTTTTCGCGATTATACAGATTTAACTGAAACAGTGACATTCGTAACCTAAAATTAGCTCGAAATAAGAACACTGATGTCCCTTCAAAATACCTGTCGTCGACCTCAGTTTTGACGGAAAGTAATTTTGTTTTATACTTAGACAAATCATAAAAATACTATATCAAACTAAAACTCGATTACATCATTTATCTTATTCTCCGCTTAATAACAATAACATCATCATAAAAAACAACAAAGATCTTTATAACAGGAGAAGATAACCTATGGATATATCACCTCATTCATATAAGGCAAACCGCAATCACTCATGTGTCTGTTATTTGGCCTTGTTCATTTGACGTACAAAGTGTATAGATCCATATTAATTTTACGTAAATATTATATAGAATAGAAATAAGCGGTAAAGCGGTAACTTTTACGAGGGTTGTCTCAAAAGAAACAATATTTATGCAGTTACTTTAAATTAAATATTGTGAAAATATCTGGCTAAATCTTTCTCGAAGACGGGAGTAATATATGCGCCTTTCTGAAAATTGGGGTCCAAACACATATTTAATGGTATAGCAGAAGTACATGAACGTTTAACATACCTTGACAGGACTTGATATGTATAAAAAGAAATAAAAAAAAAAACCTCGAAAAACGGTTTGTTAGAAATTCAATCGCAAAATTAAAAAAAAAACACACAATATTATTTAAATATTATCATTTGAATGTTAACATACGACATTTAACATTTTGGTCAAATCCTTTGCAGATGTAACTGTCATGCAATAAACAAAAGACACAGCATAAGTCTTACATATGGACATATTTTCAGATACCAGGACAATGAAATATATACATTCCATGATGAAGTCATGTTGCTTAGCAAGATACTTCAAATGCATGTGTTGACAGGCAGTCTACATTTTCTTGCACATTTGTATTTAAGGTCGTGTTCACAATCGTTTACACAACAACTAGCAGAAATTCTCAAAAATGTTGATTAAGAAAAACAAAAACTCTTAAAAATTAAACCGTAAAGTGATGTATAGTCAAATTAATTATCCTTGTACGTGAAGTGATATCAAAATATTTCATTGTTCCCACAGTTTTCTTTGTCTGATGAATATAAGTTGATGTATCGTATAATTAAAATTGATAAAAGCAAGTCCACCTATCACGATCTCTGTTACATTGCAAAGTCGTAGCTTTGAATTGAGAATATAAAAGTAACTGAAATAAATCATTTTTAAAAAGACCAAAATACCATGGGAAGAATAATAAAATCAGCATCAATGTTCTGACAGTCATATTGTAGTATGAACAAATCAGAATTCGAACTCTTTATTAAGGTCAACTATAAGCATCAGGCTAGGTGACTATATCATATTTTCATTAATCATTTTTCTTTTACACATTCACGTTTTATTTTATATGTAAAATCAAAATGTAGACAGCTAGCAATATTACACTCTCTCACACACACACACACACACACACACACACACATACATATTACATGTCGATAAGAAATACTTGCTTCACATTCAAACAAGAAATATACCATTTAAGACGTGTTTTCCATGTCTTCAATTTGTTTCATTATTGGCAGGAGACATCCCGATGATTGCCACATGTGAAAAAAAGAACATGAAACAAGATGAATTAACCAAATTGTAAGAGTATTACGGATATTACGTAAATGAAAAGGCCTTTGCAGAATTAGAAAAATAGCATATGCAATACGGCCCATAACACAGGCAGGTAAATGGGGAAAAAGGCAATTGTCAAACATGTACAATATCCGTTAACATATACTTTCGCGATGGAGACAGACAAGGGATTGTACATGCATTGTTGTGTGTCCCTAATAAACAAGATGAATTAACGAACTAGATTTAGCTATATGGATATTTGAGAACAAATTACTTATCCTCACGGAAATAACTATTTTGGCAAAATGCCTGAATATTTTGACACAAAGGGTCAATGTTTATCGGTTAGTATAACGTATCGACTGCGACTTGTAAACATGTTGATGAATGCCATTTTGCATATTTTACTGGCTTATAAATACTCACAACACAGCGCATTAACCCAGACCGAGAACATTATAAGCAAACAGAGATGAAAAGCCAACTTGCATTCACCATTTTGTTGGTGACCGTAGCTCTGATGTTCCTTGGTGCTGCCCCGGTAGACGGTGAGTATTAGCGTTACTATGTTTTCACTACAGTTTACCGAAAGCGGATTAGGAGGATTGGAGTGAATATCGTAGCTATACTGGACGTTAAATGAAAGGTAGCTTACTATCTGAATAATGTAATTATTCATCTTGATAATTTCAGAGGTGAATAATTTCTACATATGTACATTTTTCATACAAAAATAGGGTACTTCGGAATAGTTTAATATCTTATTACAAAATTCAAAAGTACTGATGATATATATTGCTTTTTTTGCATTTTTGGAACTTAACTAGATATTATCAACATGCTGTTAAATTATGTTTCCATGATAGGGTATAATATCTTCAAGACTATTTTCATGGGATTTGAAAACAATAATATATAACATTAATCAATATGTTATTTAATATTTTCATTTATCTGAAATATATGTCTGTATAGAGCAAATGATAATTTCGAATGACCATATATAATTTGCCATGTAATCTTTTAAGAAATATTTATTTAACTGCATTGAGATTTTTACCAAATGAATTGTTGAAAACCTCTTCATATTTCAATATAAACGTTTTTACTGTTGTAATCTGATAGGACCGCAAACACCTTTCATTGTGTGTTGTCGGTGTATTTATTTTGTTCTTTTTATATCATTTGGCTCCTGTGGTTGTGTTTTCGCTTTGATTTAACTCCTTACGTTTTTAAACATGTTCCATGAATTTGATATAATTATTTTGAATTAAACCTGTGATATAATTTCATTTGTATGCAGATGAATATATGCTACAATTTTGTGTTGATACAATGTGGTTTATGTATTGTGGTTGTATATGTGTGTTGACAATGTGGCATATGCTTTACTCTATGTTGATATTGCGGTATATTTGTGTGTTGAATCTGCGGTATATTTTTGTGTGTGTTGCAGCTGTGATGAATTGAGTGTCCTCTATAATGTATATATATTTTTCTGTTGACGCCTTCGTGCATCGTGTTTTTTGCACTATGGTACCATTTGTTCCTCTTGTGTTGTTATATTTGTTTGGTGACATCATATGTTATATGTTGTCTGGGTATTGACACTATGACATACATTTTATGTGCAAGTTGACACCATGGTATATATTTTCTGTGTATTGACACTATGACGTATATTTGTGGTGAAACTATGGTATATATTTTCTGCGTATTGACACTATGGCGTATGTGGAAGTTGACACTGTGTTATGTTTCTGCGTATCAGAAAGTCGAAAAATCCCGCCTATCATACAAGTAAGTAGTTAACAGTCCCTGTTGATCATCTTGTAAATAAATATTTGACGAAAGCGGCTGAAGAAGAAGAGGTTGTCGCAAATTCATTTCAAGCTCTGGAGGGTATATAAGATCCATGTGGACAATCCATCCAACTTGGCAAGGTTTTTGTAACAAATCTTATAAGCTCATCGATAAAATCAGCTTCATATGAGAAAAGAACATATCGGCACAATTTGTTCTCATAGGAAGGCACGCAGCCTGCTTGGAAATCTTGCCAACGAAATCAAAACGATATTGTCAGCCGGTATATTGTTTTGGCTTTTGATTTACTTGATAATAATAATAATAATATACAACATTTGTTATAGCGCCCTATTTAGCTAGCCTAAGCCACTCTAAAGCGCTTTAGGTAAACACTTTTACAATCGATACAATACAATTCAATACTTGTCACAAGTATTACTTCAAAATATTTTACAATCATATAATCATATTGCTGTTCGCCTTTCTTTGAAATAAAGCTTTCACAACAAGAGAAGGAAGTTTTCTAGTTGGGCATGGATAAATGACAAATTTAGTACATTCGGTTGTGAATTAACTATTAAAATATTTAACATTGAGGGAAATAAATGCATATTTAATATACTGACTTTGATTGACATACATGGTGCTATTAAATAGATAAATAAATAAATATATTAATAAAAATCGATGGAAAGTAATTGCCCACCTAGTGGAAGCTGTTTCCGTCATTCAGATATATAGACTACTTTAGACGAAGCATATTTTCCTCTTTTTAAGGTTCAATGTTCTCATACAACGAATTAATAAACTGCAAAAGATTTTGGTTATGTTCAAGTTACGAGCAAAGTCACATTATCGAAAAAAATGTAATTTCGATTCGCATTTCTGTTGGTTATATATCTCAACCTACCCATTAACAGATAAATCATATCCAAGGACATGTAGGGATTTTCTTTTGGTTACAAGCTGTTCATTCTTTGCCTTAACATCCGTGTCCCACTTTGGTAAAACACCAAATAATTCCTCTGAAATATGTTTTTATAATTATTAACTTCCTACCGTTGACTAGTTGGCGACAGATATATATAATAATAGGAGGTCCATGGTTCAAATTCGGATATAGCTCAATTGGTAATTGGTTCTTTATCATTTCATTAATATTATTTGTTCTTAGAATTTTCACAAGGTATGGTTTTCTTTTCGGAAATTATTCCTAACTGTTAAAGTCTTGTAGTATGTGACATACTAATTTTGTCAATAGTTGCTTTAGTGGTGATTTATTCTATGTAACTTGTATATACATTTTAACATTTATCGAGTGTCCATTTACAGGACCGCTGACATTTTCATCTACTATTGCATAGTTATATTTTACAGAATCGTGTTCCACATACTCATTGCAATAGAGCAATATGATATTACCATCTGATGCTCATATGTATATTGATATGTTATTCATTCCTGGTTTCCACTGCATACCAATCCATTACCCCCTCCCCTATTCCTGTAATTATTCTATTGTACATATTACTTCATTCTTGTAGCTAGTGTTGAAAAGTTGATTACTAAGCAGGTAACACATTTACATAAGTGTCACGACACTTGTTTTTGTTTCATTTTCGGTTTTATAAAACATGTATTTCGATGTATTGTCAAACAAAATTTGAATAAAACAAAGTTTAAACCAAAGTCATGTACGTTACCAATTTCCAAAACAAAGGTAGAGTTTTTGGCAATTGTACGGGAGGGGTTTAAATGCATACATTTAAGCTTTCGGTTTTCGAGTTGTCGACTTTATTAAGCTCTGACTGGGGCCGGTGATTTTTTGCAATGTAAGTAGATTTCTATTTCTATTTTATTACAAATAAACAATTGTAATCAACCCGAAACCTGATTACACCGTTTATCTTACTCTCCGCATAAGATCAATAAAATCATAATAAATAACAACCAAATGCAAGGGATGTAATTTAAAAAAGATATCGGAGATAACAACCTGTAGGTATCTCACCTCAATCAATTTCGGCATACTGCATATATAACCAAATTTTAAATGTGCAATCACTCATTAGTCTTATGTTACGTTCTCATAACTAAATAAACCATATCATTTTATGCACATAGTATCAAGACGAGAAAAAGGATAATTTTACAAAAGGTTTCGTAAATAATATGATAATTAATATTACAATTAATACAATTAGCATATACATTAATCAATGCAATTTTGAGGAATTCGCAGGAGCTGCCTTATCGGGCGCTTACTACTAGTCCTATGCCACCTGGCTAATATCTCCGTTTGTGTGTATGCATGCGTGTGTGCCAGATATGTAATGTGTGTTCTGTTTGTAGTGGGACTGTGCTTCCAACGGCATCATTTATAGTGCTACCTCACTTTCAATGCTACAGCACAGATACCGCAACACCCATCTAAGACCAATTTATACTCCACCTGGGTTGTTGGAGTTGTGTGGAGTTGTTAAAAGGAACACTATTTATGCAATAACCTGAAATTAAATAAGTCATTACTGACAGTGGGAGTCTAATATGCAATTACCAGAAAACTAAATCCATACTTTAGCGACGTTTTAGATGATCGAAGAGGGTTTTAAACAAAACAGTGTTGAAATTCACAAATTTAATGGTATAGATTGAGAACATAGACGTCAACATATCTTTATAGGGATTTCCATGTCCAAAACAAAACGAAAATGAATCGGAAATTTATTTAAAAAAATGTTTGCTAACATACAATAAAATATTCAACTCGTACACACTTTACACCTTGGTGTGTATACGATTCACTGGTCATTTGTCTGATGAAGTTGACAGTGAACATATCGTACTACTCATCAAAACGTCACATTTAAAATTTTATTGGTTGTGTAAAAAGAATTTTTCATAATTTTTTACACATAAACTAGCTATAACTTTCACAGACATTGATTCCGCAAAAAGAGACTTAAAAAATAAACTGAAAAAAATAGGTATGGTTAGATTGTACCACTCATTGTATTTGAATGTATGTTAAATCGGTTATTAGGTAACGCAGTTTTCTTTTTCTAATATATATACATATTATTTGATATTATGTAGTATTATTAACAACAAAAACAAAATCGTCTTAAATGATCTACATTCCACTTGAATAAACTGTAACTTAGAAATTGAAACATGTTTATAGCTTAAAGGAATGATTTCTGAAAAGGCAGAGAAATATTCAAAATGCTGATCAATAACAGTGTTCTGACATTTCTGATCACCATTAAGTCGCTCTAACGAATAAAGCTTCATGATCAATTGCAATTTTGGAGAGTTAACTTCTGTTGACTTTCCTATCTTTTGCCTTGAGTGGGACAATAATTCCTAAGCATGTTATCGTTGAGCATGGATGGGATTACTTTTGATAAGATCAACAACAAGTATGTAACGTGACCTTTAAGATTAAAGACAGACATCACTGCATATTAGATCAAGATTTAAGCATTTATACATTAAGCTGAATTGGTGGCTACCTTCACAAAATCAACTATCAATCCAGAATTCGGGTAGTTACAGCATAATAACAACATCGACTTTCATGTCACAAAGGGAATTATATCGTGGCGATCTAATAGATAACCGCCTAAGATATGTCGCGTATTTTTTATATCTCCACACAACAAGGAATATTGTATATGCAAAACGGCCTACAGTACAGCCAAGTTATATACATGTCAAACATAAAAACACATATAAAATATACCTTAGCTGCGCGATGTGACCCTCTTATACAGGATTAAATAAAAAATTAGGAATTTTAGTAATAAACTATCGATAATCACAAAATGAAAGATGTTATCAATAATACCTGCATACACTGGTACTTTGACACAGTTGTCAGTCATCATCGGTAAGTATAATGTATCGGCTACGATTTGTAAAACAAAATGCATATTTTACTAGCTTATAAATACTCATATCACAACCCATAAACCCAGACCGAGAGTATTCTAAAAAACGGAGATGAAAATCCAGCTTGTAATTTCCATTTAGTTGGTGATGTAGGTCTGATGTGTCTTTGGTACAACCCTGGTTAACGGTGGGTATAAGCGTTGCAATCTCCGCACCACAAGTTAGAAAAGATTTCGAATAACAAAGATACGAATTGATTCTTGGCGATATGGGACGCTTAAAAATGTTATGATCTACAGAAATAACCTTTAATCTTGATAATTTAATGGGTGACATATTTCCTATATACATGTATGTACCAAACAAATACGGTGTAAGTTTGTTTCAATAATACCTTATTGCAAACTAAAATTTACTGACTTTTTTTTATGTTATAACAAATGGTGTAAAATTGTTACCAAAATGCAAATTAACGATATTCCTAAGGTAGTTTGATGAACATTCAAGACTATTTGTGGTTTGATATGAAAATAAATACACATTTCTCAATACCTAGTTAAATATTTTCTTATTCCCTTTACTATTTGTCTGTATATATAATTGAAATTTTCGAATAACCACGGACCAAGGCGTACACATTGATATTAAATGCCAATATAATGTGTATTTCCTCCTTACTATATAGTTTTGGAATTGTTTTTGATAATCCAGTAACTATATATTGTTTAGTTTAATCCGTATTCTATTCAAGTAAGTTTAGCATGTACAATTATAAAGACATTTCACGAAGATGATTGGGAAACATGTACTCATTTAAATAGACAAATCCTTTCCATAGCGTGTAAAGAGCTAAGTTCATACAGTATGCATACCTTTACAATACTAACTTGAAAAAGTTAAATAAACAAAGTTTTTAGAATAAAAAATAGAATATCAAATTACCGAAAAAAATAAAAACATCGGATGAAATTAATACCGGTTTGAAATTTAGTGAGGTTAACATTCTAAACTTAATGTAATTCATTGCGTATTAACTGTTAATCTTCAGGTTGATTTTATGAATTAATGAAAAGCTATAGATATTAGTACACTTTGATCATACATTAAAAGTGGTAAAATCGACATTGAATTGCTGGGCCAAGTTTCCAGTGTGTTGACACTGTCTCTTGTAACTGTTGTGTATTTGTGTGCCGGCATTATTGTACATTTCCTGTGCGTTGACACTATGGTATATGCTTTCCTGTGTGTTGACACTGTTGTGTATTAGTGTGGTGACACATAGAGGATACCTAACAGTGTCTTTAGTAATACCAACTATATTTAGTCGCTCCTAACATTTGAAATATTTCACTCGGGCTGCGCGCTCGTGAAAGATATCAAAATACCAGCCACACTCGTAAAATATATTTGGTTTTACTGAAGACACTATTAGATATTCTTTTTTTCTTTTCTTTTTTTTCACGGAAACCTACCCCGGAACGAGATGCGATACATCAAGTTGACACTACTTGATCTTGTTCCCTTTACCAATAGCAAGTCTAGACAACCCTACGCGTCAAAATATAGTCCTCTTTGCAAATATTTTAGTCAAATGTAAAACTCATCATTAAATATATACAGCAGGTACTTGACTTGGAGAGGGAGAGGGCTTGTATAAGCTTTGCCTGTTGCCCAATTCCCATTAAATTCCCATTAAATCGGATAGATTTAATAAAAATATTTTCAAATGAGAAATATTAGTGTTCTTTGTCTATAGTTATGTTTCCCATGTCCGTTGACACTGTCTATTGCTTACTTTACTTTTTGACACTAATGGTTTATTTTATATTACCTGATACATGTCAGAACTGGGACAGACCATGCCCCTGTAGGCGCCGATGTATGCCGAATGAGCAACCGGGGAAACCATGTCGTGTTAAGTGTGGAGGATGGGGCAGACAGTGTTGTCCACGTAACCACCACTGGATCGGATAGTGCTCTATGAATAGCTCATTTATATATCTAATTAATCAAAAATATGCCTGGTATTTTTTTTAACAATAAGCGGTTTTTTTTTCAAATTTATTTATCGCTTACCGGAAGACTTTTCCTGTCAGATATGGCATCAGATGAAAGTGATAAGTGGTTGAAACTAGTGTCTTGTTTAAACTTTATTTAGTGTTTAAGATAATTTCACAATGTATGCAAGATATGCAATACGGATATTGCCCTTATTTAAGATAGCCCAGGAAGATCTTGCTTTCTGACAGTTTACTTATTTCAAAAACTTGATTTATGCTTAACATATTTAATTTCGAAAAGTTATGTTGTCTTAAGGCGAGGTGAAATAATCTTTATATACACAATTATTGAGATAACATATGATCTGTTCAACACGTTTGTGTCACAGTTTAGTCAATCTACCCACCTTAATTTTTTCTATATCACTTTTAATAATTATACATGTACTAACATATATAAATATGTCTTTGTTACGCCTTCTGATTAACTATGACTCTAAATTAAATTATCATTTTTAATTGTACATGTATGACTTGAAGAGAGGACTTAAACAGCAAACACAAAGAGTTCTATTCAGTTTATCAGTCAGGAAGTATAAAAAGTTAACACGCTGTTGGATGAATATCATGTTGTTAATTTCGAAATCATGCTTGAATTGAAATAAATGAGTGAAATCAATAATCATTAAACCGTTGTCGTTTATTAAATTAAGAGCGGTTTGTAGAGGTTGAACCTAAGGGTGCTAATTTTTACGAACCAATCAAATACTGGGCTATGCAAGAGTCATGATAAATCACCAAGAAAAGGTCTCAAGGATCGCAATACCGATGTCAAAAACTATACTTATGTGTGGAGATTATTTGCGTGTATGATTATTGCATTCATACATTGTAGAAAGTGTATAGAAAAAAATAAAAAAAAATAAAAAACCCATCGATAGTGTAATGTATGAGTGTAAAAATACGCAAATGGGCCAGACCCGAATTCAAACCCTGGACACTCGATTAGCATACATGTATTGTCGCTCAGTTGAACTACCTGGTCAACACTACTACCTTAGCTCGGTTGCACTACAGTTATATCCAAAGGGGAGGGTACTCTAAGTACGAAAATTTACAGTGGAATCTTTTATTGTTTTGCCTGCAGTGAAACAGTGATCATTCTACAAGTATACATATTATATATATTTATAGTGTTTATATGTTTTATTTCAGACAAACCGTAATTAACTTAGTTGCCTCCCTTCCTACACTTAATTTCAGTAGTATTCAAGCATTTAAATCGAACTGACTTTTATATCCTGATGCAGCACCGATCAAAGTAACATATTAATAGCAGCTTAAAAGTAGAATTTCTATGATAGAAGAAATACTGGTATGCTTTTAGCACCTCATCATAATATAGTTGTATATTCTTAATGTGGTATTGACACATTAAATTGTTTACCTGATAACGGTTTAGTATTACAATCACTGTTTAACATAAATGCTGATAATTTAACGATGTTACACTTTTGCCAGGAAAACAAAAGTGTGGCAATATTTCTTTTAATTATTGGGCAAAAATAGAACCACTTTATTTTAAGGTTGATCATGGATAAAGGGAATCTTGGTTTAGACGGTCAAGGTAGTTTAAATAAAAAAAACAGTTGCATATGTCATTAAATTTATGAAAACATTATCAATTATGATTGATAATACAAATACAAAAATTAAAAAAGATAATGATATCACTTACAATTTAAAAACAAATATATCAAAATATACAGACCGTAGTTTCATACAAAACAATTCACGTTTTGAAGAATAATTTTAATGATATAAACTATTCTCACAATTCAAAGTGAATAATTTGAAATTCAGGATTGAAGTCCTTATCCACTTCCTCCCTGCAAAAAAAGTTCCAAAATTAAAATATGATACACAATAGCTTATAAAACGTATTCTTGTGTGACTATCAGAAGAAATAGTTTATTTGGTTTACGTTTTATGATTCTATTATATTTGTTCGCCTGAGGCTCACAAACATGAAAAATTCAAAACTTGTATCATAAATCTAATATGAAGGGAAACGGATGATAGATCCTGTATATCGGTTTTAAGCAATTGTTCTGATATATGTGATGAATCAGTTTCATCCTTCAGCAATAGTAGCTCGAAACAGAATTAGCTTTATTAGTAGGGCTTCATTGTAATACTTATATTATAACATCTTGATATAGAACGGAAATTATTTAAAATTTGAAATGAACCATTTAAGATACATGTTATTAGTTTCACTTACCTGTTAGGGAATAAACGAATGAAACACGTCCTAGCCACGTCGCTTCCGGCAACATGTTACCCCAGAGCGATAACCTCTAAGCCTACAAGGACCCTCTGAACGTTCACCGTGTTTGCATCTCCTTTGGCAATTGCATTTCGGCGGCTTACCTAGATAATAAAAAAACACCGACGTTATTAATCAGGTTCCAAGGGAATGAACTTAAGGATCCGTGTGCTGCTGTCATAAACTATAACCATTCACTGAGATTTCATTTGGCTTGACAAATGATAAGTTGTTAAATTTTAAGGAAAAGAAAGAAATGAAAAAGATAATGGAGAATCAATAATAAATCAATGAAAAACTATCCACACATAAGTGTTCCGAATGTAAAATTATAATGAGGTCAGACCAGGGCTCGAACCCTGGACTGTTGCTCATTTCATCATTTTACTGTCGCTCTAACCAACTTGGCTACAGGTATATACAGTGGAAATAACCTGTGTTTTGCCTGCAGTGGGAAAGAGAGCATAACTGAATGTGGTTTAATACTTTGTTGTTTTTTTGTAATTGAAATCCATTGTCTTTTGTTTTTGTTTTTTACTTATCTATCCTCTTCTGTTTTGTTTGAGCTTTGATAATTATGGTAGATGGTACATCTGTACAATGAGATATCTGTATTTGATACTGTTAATATTTCATAAAATTTCAACTGAAAGAAGTTTAAATTAAACAAAAACACCATACAGACTATCCAAGAAAATTAGTGTGTTGTTCAATTCATTAATACTCATTCCTGACCAGCTAGTCAGTTTGTAATTAGAGTTCAGTAGGACGAAGCCTGATAAGGTCTACGTGTAGTAAATGAAATGAAATAAACATTTTCAGAATCATGTCTGTGCTTCCTGTCGTCAGAGGAACAAACAATATTCCAAAATAAAACAAAACAAAAAACAAAAAAAAAACACGACCTTAACTGTTGTTCATAGGAAGTTAAACAACATAAAACCAAACCCATAGATTCCATTATATTTTATATAGTTTTCCTAGCTTTCAATGAATTAGCTCGGCGGGGCATTTACTGCTATTAAATGCTTACAATTATAACAGTTTATTTGGATTTAGATGATTATTGGAAGTGTAGTAAAACCCACATTTTTCTGTTTAGCCCAGTACAGCAACAATATATTCAACCTGTACCATAGAAACGATAATATTAAAGCTCACCTTCAACTGGGGTGACACCTCCAAGGCATAGCAGGCCAACGGATACTAGCAGAATGGTAAATATGAGATTGCTGTTCATCTTCGAATTGTAAGGATCTCAATCGTCAAGTGTGACTACAAGGAGAGCGTTACAAATATTTATACTATATTTCATTATGTAAGCAAATGTAAATTCAGTCATTAATTAACATGTTTACATCCGGATCTGATGATGGCAGGTGTATGTAACATAAGCTTATTTATAGTCAACTGCACGTTTCAAATATGTCAGTTTGACTAAACCCGGAATTTCCCTCAAATTTCATGACAATAATTGTATTTTCGACATCTTAATTTAGTATTATATCATCTACACAAACGCATAGATAGCGTGCTTAACCACAGTAATATCCAGAGGCGATGCCAGAGAACTTAAACATTTTCTGCTAATTTGTCAAGGAACATCAGATTTCATAGGATATATTTTCACCTTTGGCTTTTCATATTTTCTTTCTATTTTTCTTCGTATCTATTCATTTCCTGTTGTTGTCCGATATATCACTTGCGGGTTAAAGTTTCGGTGTAGATTATTTAATTAATAAATAAATAACAGTGCTTCTGTTATATTTAGTTAACGATAACAAATTATAATGGTTTTCAGCTAGACATATGTTCACATAAATTCATGCAAAACACATTTATTTTGACAGACGGTCGGACGGACGGCGGACGGACTGCAATACATTTTGTAGCAATGATTTACCAAAGTTTATTAATTAAATGGGCTACGGAAAATGTACTTGTGCCCACATTTTGTTTCCATTCAGTTATATCTTTTTTATAAAGATATATCCCTTATTGACTAATGTGTTTTTAGCATTTAGCAACCCTAAGCACAACACCGAAATTTTTTAAGCGTTTTTGTTTAATTCTTCCTTTTTATCGCAATAAAACATAGCATCATTATTTGTTCGTCCTATCAACGCCGAAGTCATTTTTGGTCCTAGTTGTTCAAAGACGCGTTAGCTAAGCGAACTAAAATCAAGAGTTCATAGTGAGATTTTTTCGAGACCTTTCAGAACACTTAAAACATTTTTCTTTGTCTGCGGCTTAACGTTTTAATACCTCTTTAATTTTGAATTTCAATATTTCCACTTTTTTGTTGTAAAATATTGACTTTTTATGCAGTGGCCTAGTGAAAAGAATTCTTAAGATGAGTGCTGAGAGGCAAAATGGTTGGAATAGGTTTATCTATCTCTTGCTGTCTGCGTATAGTGAACTTCACCGATAGTCATCAGAATTTTTAACCATTTGACATGTAATATCGTCGTGCAGTCCGAGATCTTATGATGATCCTTCGTAAGTTGTTGACGAAGGACATCCACGATGATGAAGTGAAAACGACGTATTCCTACGCCATCCATTTGTACCTCAAGGAGGGGGTGAAAGAGACATATAAGATCATGATAGATAACCTCTGCATTCTAAATACGAAACATAAGCGATACTTCACGGGCGAGAAAGGCAATGAAACCCTGAACGTGTCGATTCTCTTGCCGACGACGGCGACCAAACTGCTGAAGTAAAGAAGGTTTGACCAGTGTACTACCATGTCGATAGAGATTGCAAGATCAAACTCTTTAAATAAACTTCCTGAAGACATATAAGAACACGAAAGAGGTTTTGGGGCCAGCAAGATATGGCATTTATTTCAACAGGATGTGTAGTATCTTGTGTGAAAGCGATGCAAATTGTGGAAGAAGAAACTGATGAGCCAAATTTAGAGGGTTTTCTAGAAACAATTCTATCTTCACTAGGATTTGAAATTGTACAGAATGTCGAGATTGCAGCTAGAAGTCCTTGCCGTACATGGTATCATCACTACAATCTGTGAAGCTGTGCGAGTGAAGCCCTTCCAGTTGCCGTTTAATACCAAGCAAGTTGTCAAGGATGAGGTCGCTAAGATGTTGGCCATGGGATAGACTGAACCTTCTCACACCCTTCACAGTAATTGATGTTTATATTATAATGTATAGCAACCACAACATTACTCCCCAGACAAGTCATAATTCAAGTATACATTACAGACTGTGCCTATAGGGAAATGTACATAATGTTGACAATGCCTGCAGACGTTTGACCCCTCATATTTGCCACACCCACTGACAATTTCAGTGTTTTTATAATTCGCTCTTTGTTTTGAGGGATGCTTTTCAATTAATCTTATAAGAATGTATTCAATATATTCTATTCTGTTACGTCATTCAGTGTGTGCCGGGTCGATGCGAGTGTACTTTACTTGGAAACAGTATTTTTAACTTAATTATGAAAAATAAATCAGATTTGTTTTCTTGATGTCATAATAAGGTGATAGTTGCTACACATACCTTAAACTGAATGCAGCTTGTTCTAACCCAGGTATCTTGAACAGCAAGCCTTTCTCCCACCAAAACCGGGATTTCTGCACGGGCCATTTTGTCGTTCACCAAATTTACAAATACAACGGCAAGGACATATTCCTTGACCTTGACAATAGAAAAACGACGCTGGTTGTATGAAAATTAAAATTAAAAATCAGTGTAATAATTTGAAATGTTCTGGGTCGTCGTACTGTAATATATATATTTCCTTACGTGATAGTAAGTTTTACATTTCCATTTCTGTTTTGTTTTTCATTTTTTAAGTATAACAATGGTATAATATCCGGCATGCTTTTTGTTGTGAGTAAAAATACGAATAAATGAAATACGCAGAAAGTCACACAAAGTACACGTTGTATGGCACCTTATGGCAATTTCGTGAGTTCCGGATTGACAAAATTGTCATAAAGTGCAGCATCGAAGGTCAAAAGGATGTGAAATCCAAGTCTTAACTGTGCAGCTATGTTCGTGCTACAGTGTTCTATGGTAGTTTTATATATACTCTAGGGGAGGCAATGTTCGTGCTACATACAGTCCTCTATGGTAGTGATATATACATAACATAGGGGAGGCAAAGATCGTGCTACAGTCCCCTGTGGTAGTTATGTTTATACTCTAGGGGTGGCAATGATCGTTCTACAGTCCCCTGTGGTAGTTATGTATATAGGCTAGGAGAGGCAATGATCGTGCTTTAGTCCTCAATGGTAGTTATATATATACTCAAGGGAAGGCAATGTTCGTGCTACAGTCCTATATGGTAGTTATATATATACTCTAGGGGAGGCAAAGATCGTGCTACAGTCCCTTGTGGTAGTTATGTATATACTCTAGGGGAGGCAATGATCGTGCTACAGTCCCTTGTGGTAGGAATACATATATTTTAGGGGAGGCAAAGATCGTGCTACTGTCCACTGGTGTAGTTATATGTATACTCTAGGGAATGCAATGATCATGCTACTGTCCCTGTGGTAGTGATATATATACTCTAGGGGAGGCAACGTTCGTTGTACGGTCCTCTATGGTAGTTATATATATACTCTGGGAGAGGCAATGATCGTGCTACTGTCCTTGTGGTAGTTATATATATACTCTAGGGGAGGCAATGTTCATTCTACTGTCCTCTTTGGTAGTTATGCATATACTCTGGGAGAGGCAATGATCGTGCTACTGTCCTTGTGGTAGTTATATACATATATATACACACTAGGGGAGGCAATGATCGTGCTACAATCCTCTGTGGTAGATAAATATATACTGTAGGGAAGGCAATGATCGTGCATCAGTCCTCTATTGTAGTTATATATATACTCTAGGAGAGGCAATGCTCGTGCTACAGTCCCCTATGGTAGTTACATCTATACTCTAGTGTAGGCAATGATCGTGCTATTGTCTCTGTGGTAGTTATATATATATACTCTAGGGGAGGCAATGATCGTGCTACAGTCCCCTGCTGTTTATATATATATAATCTAGGGGAGGCAATAATCTTTCTACAGTCCCCTGTCGTAGTTATATATATACTGTAGGGGAGGCAATGTTCGTTCTACAGTCCCCTGTGGTAGTTATATATATAATCTAGTAGAGGCAATGATCGTGCACAGTCCCCTGCTGTTGAGATATATATAATCTAGGGGAGGCAATGATCTTTCTACAGTCCCCTGTCGTAGTTATATATATACTGTAGGGGAGGCAATGTTCGTTCTACAGTCCCCTGTGGTAGTTTTATATATAATCAAAGGGAGGCAATGGTCGTTCTACTGTCCCTGTGGTAGTTATATACATGTATATACTCTGGGAGGCAATGCTCGTTCTACAGTCCCCTGTGGTAGTTATGTATATACTCTCGGAGAGGCAATGATCGTGCTTCAGTCCTCAATGGTAGTTATATATATACTCTAGGGGAGGCAATGTTCGTGCTACAGTCCTCTATGGTAGTAATATATATACTGTAGGGGGGGGGCAAAGTTCGTGCTACAGTCCCCTGTGGTAGTTATGTATATACTCTAGGGGAGGCAATGATCGTGCTACAGTCCCATGTGGTAGGTATACATATATTTTAGGGGAGGCAAAGATCGTGCTACTGTCCATTGGTGTAGTTATATGTATACTCTAGGGAGGCAATGTTCGTTCTACAGTCCCCTGTGGTAGTTATGTATATACTCTAGTAGAGGCAATGGTCGTGCACAATCCCCTGCTGTTAAGTGGTAGTTATGTATATACTCTAGGGGAGGCAATGATCGTGCTACAGTCCCATGTGGTAGTTATGTATAACCTCTAGGAGAGGCAATGCTCGTGCTACGGTCCTCTGTGGTAGTTATATATATATAATATAGGGGAGGCAATGTTTGTTCTACAGTCCTCTGTGGTAGGTATTTATATACTGTAGGGGAGGCAATGATCGTTCTACAGTCCTCTGTGGTAGGTATATATATATTCTAGGTAAGGAAATGCTCGTGCTAATGTCCATGTGGTAGTTATATATATATATATATAAAGGTATTAAAGGGGAGGCAATGATCGTGCTACAGTCCCATGTGGTAGTTATGTATAACCTCTAGGAGAGGCAATGCTCGTGCTACGGTCCTCTGTGGTAGTTATATATATATAATATAGGGGAGGCAATGTTTGTTCTACAGTCCTCTGTGGTAGGTATTTATATACTGTAGGGGAGGCAATGGTCGTTCTACAGTCCTCTGTGGTAGGTATATATATATTCTAGGTAAGGCAAT